AGTTCAAGCGATTCTCTTGCCTCAGCCTCCTGAGTAGCTGGGACTACAGGCACCCACCACAATGCCTGGCTAATTTTTTGTATTTTTCGTAGAGATGGGATTTTGCCATGTTGGCAGGCTGGTCTCAAACTCCTGGCAAGTGATCCAATTGCTTTGGCCTCCCAAAGTGCTGAGATTATAGGCGTAAGCCACCACACCTGAACTTTTTCAAAAATCTTATGGGAATTTATGAACAAAAAATTGTGAAGACCTGTGGGCTGGGTGCGGTGGCTCACTCCTGTAATCCCAGCATTTTGGGAGGCGGAGGCGGGTAGATTGCTTGAGGTCAGGAGTTTGAGACCAGCTTGGGCAACATGGCAAAACCCTGTCTCTACTAAAAATACAAAAATTAGCCAGGCATGGTGGCACGTTCCTGTAATTGCAGCTACTCAGTAGAAAGGAGAATCGCTTGAACCTGGGAGGCAGAGGTTGCAGTGAGCCGAGATCGTGCCACTGCACTCCAGCCTGGACAGACCAAGACTTTGTCTTAAAACACATTTTTTTTTGTGAAGACCTTATGGTGTATGACAGCAATAAACATCGCCGGCCATGTGTTTGTTGGAGGGGGTGAGGTTTCTGGTTAGGTGAGGGGCAGTGGCTTATCCATAGGTAAGCAGGGGCAGAACTGGAGCAAGGACCAGGATTTCCTGACTCCTGCAAAGTCAGAGCTCTTTCCATTATACTTCCTTTTCCTTTCCTTCTCCATTCATGTGATTGTTGCTTTAGCAAATACTTGCTGAGCTGCGGTGGGCACCATTATAGACACTGGGATACAAATGGAATATAAAATAAAGTTTTCTACTTTTCTGGAGCTCATATTCTAGCAGAAAGAGACAGACAATAAATAAACTAGATATTTTTAAATAATGATAAGTGCTGGGAGCATATAAGTGGGGAAATGCAATAGAGTATATAGGGGTGGGGGAAGGCATGGGCAGGGGAGACTTCCGGGATGAGCTATGAGTTATGGACAAGACCAACTTGTATGTATGTTTCAGGGAAGGGGGAGGGCTAGGTAGAAGGAACAGTAAGTACAAAGACCTTGAGGCCGGAGAGAGGGTTTGGTGTGTTCCAGGAACAGAAAGACGTCCCTGTGGCTGTAGCACTGAGCCATTGGGAGAAAGTAGTAGAAAGTGAATTTCACCAAGAAGGTAAGAGCTTGGTCATATAGGATCTTATCATTTGCCGTTAGGATCCTATATTTATCCCGAAGACAATGGGAAACCATTGAAGGATTTTAAGCCAAGAGTTGATACACTCTGATTTACGGTTTTGTTTTGTTTCATGTTGGAGGGAGGCAGGAGTGGAAACAGAGTGAAGACTAATTCAGGAGGGCATTTTCTGGTCCGACGTCAGTAATCTACTCGATGGAAGAATACGAAGATGAATAATGTGAATGGAAAGAAAGGCAGAATGGTATGAGATGACATTCTGTCTTCTGGTTCTGATGAGGCATGCTGGTAGCTATCACTGTGTAACAGATCACTCCAAAATTTAGTGACTTAAAACAAGAATGGGCGCAGTGGCTCGTGCCTGTAATTCCAGCACTTTGAGAGGCCAAGGTGAGTGGATCGCCTGAGCTCAGGAGTTCAAGACCAGCTTGGGCAACATGGCAAAACCCCGTTTCTACAAAAATACAAAAATTAGCCGGGTGTGGTGGTGCTTGCCTATAGTCGCAGCTGCTTGGGAGGCTGAGGCAAAAGAATTACTTGAACCCAGGAGGCAGAGCTTACATTGAGCCTAGTTCATGCCGCCGCACTTCAGCCTGGGTGACAGAGCCAGACCTTGTCTCAAAACAAACAAATACCAAAAAAACCAAGAGCTCTTTTATTTTGTCATAATTCTGCAAGCCAGGGCTTTGGGCAGGGTTCAGCTGAGCAGTTCTGCTCCATGCCGTCATCAGCTAGGGTCATTCACAACCATATTCAGCTGGTGGATGAGCTGGGTTCCATTCATAGGTCTGGCACCTTGGTGCTCTTCTTCTTTCTTTCTTTCTTTTTTTTTTTTTGGAGATGGAGTTTCATTCTTATCGCCCAAGCTGGAGTGTAGTGGTGCAATCTCAGTTCACCGCAACCTCCACCTCCCGTGATTCTCCTGCCTCAGCCTCCCTAGTAGCTAAGACTGCAGGTGCCTACCACCACGCCCAACTAATTTTTGTATTTTTCTGGTAGAGATGGGGTTTCATCAGGATGGTCTCAAGCTCCTGACCTTATGATCCACCTGCCTCGGTCTCCCAAAGTGCTGGGATTACAGGCATGAGCCATTGTGCCTGGCCCTGTATTTTATTTTCATGTTTCTTTTTCTTTTTTTCTTTTCCTTTTTAAAAATTAGGCCATCTTCTGAGCCAAAGCAGGCTCTTCATGCTCTTCTGCATGGCCTCTCTCTTCATGTGGGTACCTTGGGCTTCCTCATAGCATGGTGGCCTGCAGGTAGTCAACCTTCTTACATGGTATTAGGCTTCAAAGAGAAAGCATTCCCAAAAGAGCAAAGGGCAGGCCACATAGCTGTTAAGGCCTGGCCCTGCAAAGTACCCAACATAGCTTCTGCCACGTAGTATTGGTCAAAACCAGTCACAGGGCTGGCCCAGACTTAAGGAGAGAAGAAAGAAACCCAAACCATATCTCCTAGTGAGAGGAATGGCAAATTATATACTCTGTCTTTAGTCTACCGTACTTGGCTTGTGGACACTGAATAGACCTAACCATGCTGATGGTGCTGACCCACTTTTAAATCTAAACCACAGTATACTATGTTGGAACAATTTATAGGTCTTTATCCCCCACTGAATAGAGAGGGCCTGGAGAACAGGAGGTGGTTTGCTTTTCTTTTTTTTTTCTCTGTGTTTCCAGAGCCTAACACGTACAAGGCATTCAGTGCATGCTTACCTTTGGATGCACTCATCACATAAGCAGTCACTGGTTGTCAAAACATGGTGAATATAAGAATCCCCTGGGAGCTGTTAAAAATGCAAGCAGATTTCTGAACAAGACCTGAGCCCAGACCTTCTGAATCCAAATCTCTAGGGGAAAAGTTTCCAGTCTTGGCTGCTCATGAAAAGATACGAGTGCCAGGCCTTCACCCCAGAGACCCAGTTTCCATTGATCTGGGGTGAGCTCAGACACATTGAAGTCTCCTCAAATGATTCTGATGTGAGGCCAGGGTGAAGAACTACTGCCCTAGGATTAGAACCAGCCATCTCTGCTAACCTCCGCAGATGATTCTGATGCAGGTGGTCCGTGACAGGGTGACCAACACCCTTGCCTTGCCCTGATTTTAGCACTAAAAGTCTCACATCCCAAGAAACTCCCAGTCCTGAGTAAGCCAGACAGCTGGTCATTATCAATGGATCACTATTGAAAAAACATTCTAGATGAGTCAGTGAAAGGCTTTTTTGAAAAATGCCTACAAATATCTACTGAAAGCCATGATTTTTTCTCCTTACTTAAGGGCCTGAACCAACTGTCCTTGAATGAAGGAGGAAGTGGCTCAGGGTCAGCGTTTTCCTTCAGCCCTGTGCTCTGCTGTGCTAGGTCTGTTAACTCACATAAGTAGTGCGTCTGTCTTTGGGAATTCTTTCAGACTATATCCCTTAGTGCACACACCACAGCGTTGAAAGCCCATTTACAATCAACAAAGATGATGTGTTTAGGATAAGACAAGATACAGGGTGAAATTTTTATGCCTTCTACACCAGTGTGTATTATTTTTACTATTACAAATACCATAGGCTGGGGGCGGTGGCTCATGCCTGTAATCTCAGCACTTTGGGAGGCTGAGGCAGAGAGATCAGGAGGTCAGGAGTTTGAGACCATCCTGGCCAACATGGTGAAACCCCGTCTCTACTAAAAATACAAAAATTAGCCGGGCGTGGTGGTGCTACTTGGGAGGCTGAGGCAGGAGAATCGCTTGAACCTGGGAGGTGGAGGTTGCAGTGAGCTGTGATTGCAACTTTGCACTCCAGCCTGGTGACAGAGCAGACTCCGTTTCAAAAAAAAAAACAAATACTATAATAGGGTACACAAATATAAGTAATATGTTAAATAGCTGCGGGGTAGCCCAGACTCTGGGCCGAGATTCCTGGGTTTGTGCCCCAGCTTTGCTGTTGCTAGGTATGTAATCACGGATGCCTCTTTTTTGCCTTAGTTGTTCACCTGTAAAATGGGAATAAGAGAGATGTCTTCATCATAGAGCAGATGGGAGAGTCCCAAAAATAACATAAGCGAAAGTGGTTCTGGAGACTGAGGGCTGGGGTGTTATGATTGTCTTTGAATGGACTTGACATTATTCCGTTGAGAGGCCCTGCACGTGACCGGAGCTGTGGATCCCCGACCCTGAACCATAGCCCACCTGTGAAGTTTCAAGGAAGAAGCTTTTAACCCGGAGTGAACCATGGCGAGAGCTCAGGAAGTGGAGTTCCCCACCTTAGTTGCCCTTACTACTGACGTCAAGTGTGCTTTGCTTCAGGAAGGGGGGTTTGTGAAGGTATTTTTTGTTTTTAAATCTTTTGCCTGTTTATTGCAAGTGTAGCCTCAGAAATGTAGCCAAAAGAAAGCAACCACAACCACAGACCTATAATATTGAAAAGCCAGTTGTTAATTTCTGTAGCTAAAAAAGCATCATTTCAGGCTGTAACCACAGAGAGATTGCTGCAGGCCTCTGGCATAATGACAGTTTGCAGTGTGATGAAGGAGGCTGTCAAGCTCTGTGGCCCAGAAGTCCAATCCCGGCCTCTCCAATTACCCAGGTGCCTAGCAACACCACCGAAAGCCTCCCCGCCAGGCCCAGCTGGGCAGCAATTGGCTACACCCAGCACAGCCCGCTGCCCAGCCTCTTGAGCTCCCCCCCGCCCCCCCCCACCCCCTTGCCACATCAAGGCTAGTCTCAGCCCCGGCAGGAACCCGCCTGGTACCAATGAGTGGGTGGGGCCAGCTGTTTAGAAAAAACAATTCAGATATTAAAAAGCTCCCTGTTTGAATGCAGCTAGGAAAGCAGCACAAGCTCACCACTAAAAGTGTCTGCCATGGAAAAGGAGTTGTCGTAAGGGTTTTGGCCTTGCCAGTGCCCTCCTGGGTGAGGTGAAGAAGGGAAGGTGAGCCTGATTTAGTCCTCTTCTCAAATGGGCAAATCCTTTCCCCGTCCTGGACACTGTGTCCACCCAGAGTCCTTGTGGTAGCAATGGGGATGGTGGGAATTCCCAGATCCATCTTCCCCCAGGGGTCAAGACCTGCCACATCCTCTGCAGCTTCCTTTTGGGAATTCCCAGGGTCTTGTCTGGGACTGTCTAGGCAGCTGGAGGAAAAGGAGGGAGATAACAGTACAGGAAGGTGAGATGAAAATAACCAAAAAGAAGATTCACACTTCTTTTCTTAAATTTTTTAATTTAGTTTTTGGAGACAAGGTTTCACTCTGTCACCTAGGCTAGAGTACAAGTGACACCATTGTAGCTCACTGCAATCTTGAACTTCCTGGTTCAAGTGATCCTCCCGCCTTAGCCTCCCTAGTAGCTGGAAGTGCAGGTGTGCACACCACTGCTCCTGGCAAACTTTAATTTTTAAAAAATTTTTGGCCAGTCGCAGTGGCTTACGCCTGTAATCCCAGCACTCTGGGAGGCCGAGGTGGGCAGATCACCTGAGGTCGGGAGTTCAAGACCAGCCTGACCAACATGGTGAAACCCTGTCTTAAAAAAAAATTTAAAAAATTTTTTTTGTAAAGAAGGATTTTCACTGTATTGCCCAGGCTAGTCTCAAACTCCTGGTCTCAAGCAATCCTCCTGCCTCGGTCTCTCAAAGTGCTAGGATTACAGATATGCGCCACTGTGTCTGGTGCATTATTTTTTATTAAATTTTTTTTTTTTTATGTGGCTGGGTGCATGGTGGCTCATGCCTCCAGCACTCTGGGAGGCAGAGGCGGGCGAATCACCTGAGGTTGGGAGTTCGAGACCAGTCTCACCAACATGGAGAACACGACCAACACCCTGTCTCTACTAAAAATGCCAACACCCTGTCTCTACTAAAAATACAAAATTAGCCAGGTGTGGTGGCTCATGCCTGTAATTCCAGCTACTTAGGAAGCTGAGGCAGGAGAATCGCTTGAACTTGGGAGGTGGAGGTCTCAATGAGCCAGGATCATGTCATTGCACCCCATTGCACTGTTATCAATTTATTTTTTTATAATAAATAAAATTATATTTTAAATTTATTATAAAAAATAAATTTAAATTTTATCTTAAATTTATTTATTTTTGAGACAGAGTCTTGCTTTGTTGCCAAGGCGGGAGTAAATTTTTATTTTTAACCCTAATCCCATGACAGATGAAGAAGAATCTTTCTATAACACTTGGTACATGTAAATCACAGGGGCAGTGGAACATGCTGGGCTTTGGAGTCAGGCGCCTGAGGCTCTTCTCCCAGCCCTCCCATCCTTAGCTGGGAGACCTTGAACAAGTTACTCTGGGAGCCTGGGTTTCTTTATCCTTAAATGGGAATGTTATTACTCTGTCTTACAAAGCTGTAAAAATTAAGAGAATGCTCATAATTAACTTGGGAGCTAGCACACAGTAAGTTTATTATTCCAGTAACTCTTTATTATTTTATTTGATTCTTACAACAATTCTGTAAGATACTCAGGGCAGAGGTGAACTCTGTTTGCTTTTTTTTGAGACGGAGTTTTGCTCTTGTTGCCCAGGCTGGAGTGAAATGGCGTGATCTTGGCTCACCGAAACCTTTGCCTCCGGTGTTCAAGCGATTCTCCTGCCTCAGCCTCCTGAGTAGCTGGGATTACAGGAATGCGCCACCATGCCAGGCTTATTTATTATTTATTTATATTTATTTATTTATTTATTTGAGACAGAGTCTCCCTCTATTGCCCAAGCTGGAGTGTGGTGGCACAATCTTGGCTCACTGCAGCCTCTGGCTCCCGGGTTCAAGCAATTCTCCTGCCTCAGCCTCCCGAGTAGCTGGGATTACAGGCACTCACCACCACCCCCAGCTAATTTTTTCATATTTTTAGTAGAGACAGGGTTTCACCATATTGTCCAGGCTGGTCTCGAACTCCTCACCTCGTGATCTGCCCACCTCGACCTCCCTAAGTGCTGGGATTATAGGCATGAGCCACCGCGCTTGGCCTAATTTTGTATTTTTGGTAGAGATGGGGTTTTTCCATGTTTGTCAGGCTGGTCTCGAACTCCTGGCCTCAGGTGATCCACCCGCCTTTGTCTCCCAAAGTGCTGGGATTACAGGTGTGAGCCACCGTGCCCGGCTGAGCTCTGTTTTACAGCTGAGGAAACTCCAGCCCAGTGAAAAACTAAATGTGGATGCTGGGAGTAGAATTCAGGTCTTTCCAGTGTCAAACACAAGGTAGGGTATTCTTCAAAGGCAGATAGATGGTAAGCCCCTTTTTTGGTAGCCATTATGACATGGCGGCTTCACAGCAATGGTACCCAATGATAGAATGACAATGGAAGGGGTGTAGCCGTGCAGAGGAAAGGGTTGGTAGCAGGCTCTTTTCAACACAAAGTCACACAAAGACTTAGTCAATGTGCGGTTAGAATTCCTCCTTCCCCTTTTCCCTCCTCTCTTTGTTTTCCTCTGTCTTTCCCTGTTTTTTCCACAAGCTTTCTTTTTTTTTTTTATTTTTAAATAACTCTGATATTTTGTAGGAAATACTTCATGAATTTGCGTGTCATCCTTGTGCAGGGGCCATGCTAATCTCTGTATCGTTTCAGTTTTAGTATATGTGCTGCCAAAGGAAGCACCACAAGCATTCTTTTATTGATTGATTGAGGCAGGGTCTTGGTCTGTCGCCCAGGATGAAGTGTAGTGGCACAATCTTGGCTCACTGCAACCTCCACCTCCCAGGTTCAAGCGATTTTCCTGCCTCAGCCTCCCAAGTAGTCGGGATGACAGGCACGCAACACCATGCCTGGCTAATTTTTTTGTATTTTAGTAGAGATGGGGTTTCACTATGTTGCCCAGGCTGGTCTTGAAGTTCTGGGCTCAAGCAGTTCTCCCGCCTTGGCCTCCCAAAGTACTAGGATTACAGGTATGAGCTACCATGCCCAACCTAGTCAGGTTTTTGATTGCAAAAATGGGAACTGACTCTGACTAATTAAATTGGGAAATGAATTTTGTTGAAAGCACATTGAGTAAGTTACAGAATCACTGGAAGAATCACTGTAGAAACAAGGCTTGGAAAATAAGCAGAAACGCAGAGAGACCAGGCACCTAGAATTACACCAAAATCCCATCACAGAGCCAGATGCTGAGGACAGCCTCAGCTGCTGCCTTCGTCACAGCCGCGGCTGGCGTTGGATGCTGGATGCCATGCTGACCCAATGGCAAGCCTGTCTGGACACTGGATACTGCTGCCACTGCTGCAATCACTGTAAATAATTTTTCCCATCCCCACCTCCAGCGTCAGAAATCCTAAGCAAATGCAGCTGATTGGTCAAGTGTAGGTCACTCTAGCTACCTAGGGACACGGAAAAGTGAATATTGGGCATGGTTGGTGTCTCTAACGGAAGCCGTTTCCTGCTACCCAGCAGGAGAAGATAAATTCCCCAAGGGAACTGACAAATAATGGCTATGTACATGTTGTCAAGAGAATCCACTGGAAGTCCCTGACATTTGCAGTTTCAATACTTGCAATTTTGGTAATTTATTAGTTACTCCCAAAGGCCCATTATGAATGAATATGAGTTGAATGACTGACTTTGCCTGTTAGTGAGCCAGGCCTACTGCTCTGCCCGGACATCTCAGAACTATTATCCTTTATGTAGTTTGCATACAGTAATTAAAATATTTGTTTCTTGATTGCAGAGTAGAAAAGACTCATAAAATAAATCACTCAATAATACCAGTGATACAAACAAAGAGAAAGTGAGGAGGTATAAGAAAGTGACTTTGTTTTTTGACTACAAATAGAATTTTTGGATACATTGGCATGGTGTCTGAGATCCGTGATAGCATTAGATCAACCATGTGTGTCACTGAGATACAAGGAAAAGTTGTTTAGTGAGTGCATCAGCCAGTGCCAAAACTGCTCATCAAGAGAGAGATTAATCTTTACTAAAAGAAAAGAAGAGATTGAACTAACTGTTTTCTTTTTCTTTCCTTCGTTGAGATCTCAGGTGCAAAGTACAGAGTATGGTCAATACTCTTCAAATACCAATTTTATAAATTACTTCTACATTTATAGAATCATTTAAGGACTGACATGGAATCACTCAAAATTTTCTGACTATAGTTTTTTTTTTTTTCTTCTTCAGATGGAATTTCACTCTGTCGCCCAAGCTGGAGTGCAGTGGCACAGTCTCGGCTCACTGCAACCTCTGCCTCCGAGGTTCAAGCGATTCTCCTGCCTCAGTCTCCTGAGTAGCTGGGATTATAGGTGTATGCCACTACACCGGGCTAATTTTTGTATTTTTAGTAGAGGCAGGGTTTCTCCATGTTGGCCAGGCTAGTCTCGAACTCCTGACCTTAAGTGATCTGACCGCCTTGGCCTCCCAAAGTGCTGGGATTACAGATGTGAGTTACTGTGTCCGGCCTGGCTGTAGTTTACAATGTAATTTTGGGAGACACAATGTGATATGTAGTGGATTAGGGTATCTGAAAGATCTGGAAAAATCTCTTGCAAATGTTAGGAGTCTCCTATGTAAATCTCTTTATAGAAATCTCTTTTTGGCCAGGCACGGTGGTTCACCCCTGTAGTTCTAGCACTTTGGGAGGCCTAGGCAGCTGGATCACTTGAGGTCAGGAGTTTGAGATCAGCCTGACAAACATGGTGAAACCTCGTCTCTACTAAAAATACAAAATTAGCCAGGTGTGGTGGTGGGTGCCTGTAATCCCAGCTACTTGGGAGGGTACAGCAGGAGAATCGTTTCAACCTGGGAAGCGGCGATTACAGTGAGCTGAGATGGCACCATTGCACTCTAGCCTGGGCAGCAAGAGCAAAACTCGGTCTCAGG